TTTAAGGGTAAGATTTGCCAATGCAGTGAAAGAAAATAGAACTTTCCTTATGACTGACGCACACATTGGCCGTTCTTCCACTGTGACCTTCAGAGTTGCCATTATTTTTATGTACTTGGAGGTGTAAATAAAGTCAGGAGTTATGCAACAGATCCTTTTATTAGAGCTGAATAAAACGTTAAAGGTGACTTTATTCCGCACAGTACTTGCAGAAATAGTAGTTTGCAGTTGATGGCCATAAAAAATGTTATGGTGATGTGAGATCAAGGCTGGCACACAAAAAAATTATGTAAAAATATAAGTCATTGCAGTTTATGTAAAAAACATATTTAGGCATAAAAAAGACAAAAAAGTTATGCCATTGATTTTGTGTTTTCTTATCCTCCACTTGTTTTTGGTTCAGTTAGAAAACATGTTTATGGATTTCAGAATGGAATAGAACATTTATATAAAATGTCATAGTCAAATTTTCAAATTGTCCCACTTTATCCAAGTTCACCCTAGTTATGTAACAATTTCAATATTAGGCTCTATAATTACCAATAGTGGGTCATGTTATGCGTTTCAGATCATCATTCATCATTAAAAGGTCCATATTATGTTATTTTCTGATCTATGTTATAATGTTTTCTCATCAAAAACATACCTGGAGTTGTTTTGTTTCATTCACTGCATATTTAGGCTGAGATTTCCTTTCAAACTGAAAACACTCCACCACCTTTAGATGTCATGTAGTAATACAGGAAGTGCTCTACTGTGTTTTTAAACTCCACTCATCCACAGAATCATTTTGATGATTACAGCCTTAGAATATCTAGTCTCCACAAAAAGTAAAAGGTAGCTGTTAACTTCTGCACTACTACTACTGACTACTGCTTCATGACATGCCAAGGTGGAACAGAGCTTTTTGAGCTTTGGAAATGTGGACAGACTAATAATAAAGGATTACTCAAATATGTGTGAATGAAACAAAAACACAACTCCAGGTATGCTTTGATGAGGTAACAGCATTCTAACATGACTTAAAGCTTACAAAAATAGATTTTGTGTAATGACGGACCTTTAATCTAAACTGATAAAAAGGTCTCATGCAGGCTACATAAAAATATTCCTACATTGCTTCTGTATGGTCAGTTCTATCAAAACAAAACAGCTGTGTAATATGTTAAACACGCTTTAATGGCACATTCATCACCAGCTTTCATTTATAACCTTGATTTCTGCTTAGACATGTTTCTTTTGAAGGTTGTAGAATGCAGTACAAAGCCTCCACTCTCTTCTTTTCTCCTCTGACTAATGTTACTGCTGGAGCTCTGGCACGGAGCTGTGCGTTGTCGGCGGAAAACGGTCAGCCAGTGTCATTACGCACGTCACACGCACTTCAGGAGGCCGCTGATGAAACCGAGGGGCAAAGAGCTCTGGGTTTTTGTTTTTTTTTTTGCTTTTTCCAATCAAGTCACAGCCGCGCTATTACTCAGACGTGTAGGACCCCGCTCTGTCGGTTAGACCTAAAAATAGCCTTGTGCACGGCTTTATTTTTTCAGGAGAAGAGGCTGGACTTGGAGGAGTGGGTGAAAAATTCCCCAAGCTCCACACACCATTTCCTCCCCACCCTCTTCTTTACAGAAAGTTACTGTAGTCTGGTTAATCTGGGTTATTTTTAGACCCCAAAGTAAACCTTTACCCAAGGCCTATTGGTGTGTTTTGAGGTTATCAGTGCTGGAAGAAGTACTCAATTTTGTTACTTAGAGCTGCATTGTGTAACTTTTCTGGTGGAGGGTCCATCTGATTATTTTCTCCATGGAGAACTGTTATTGCTTTGTCTGGAGTGTATCAAGTTACAGGTCAGATCTGTGGAGAGACTCTGTCAGAATGTCTATTTTTCTCAGTATCTTTGGGCTGTAAAACCACCTGTAATTGAATAAATATAAGGCAGAGCTGTTTAATGTCATACTGTGGAACATTCCAGGCAGAGCAATGACATCTCCATAGAAAACAGCAGGTGATGGAGCCCCAACCAAAAACCAAAAAAGTGCATCTTTAAGTAAAAGTACAGATACTAGTGAAAAAAAAAATACTCACATAAAAGTAAAGGTATCACATGAAAAAATCTAATTAAGTAAAAGTATTAAAGGACCTGTTTAAAAGTGTTTCATGCAAATTTTGAGTAAAAATTTAATGATTTTGAAAAAGATTTGTGATGAATTTGGTTCAACAGAAACAGCTGAACCAATATTTTTTTTCCAAGCTTTTTTTTTCAGCAGGTCTCAAATTATACTGAAAATACTTTAACTTTTTAGCCTTGTCAAAAAGATGCGGAGTAGAAAGTACAGATATCTGCTCTCAAATGTAGTGAAAAGTAAAATACTCCAAGTACAGATACTATTACTTAAAGGTGTACTGTGTAACTTTTCTGGAAAAGATCCGCAACCTGTTTGTCTCCATGAAGATGTTAATGCATTGGAAGAAATTGTCCACAGTATAGTACTAAACTAATACAGGTGTTATTTATTGCTCAAAAATATCTTTAAAAACATTTCTTCTTATTGTGAGTGGAGTCGCCTCTCCACATCTTTATGGAGACAAGTAGGTGATGGACCCACCGGAGGTTATTTTGACTATTTTGGAGAACATTTACTGTTTTGAGTCCAAAACACGTGAGAAGGGACCGACAGTCACTTCTGTTGCTGAATCAGTGAACAGTTATTCCTTCGAGCTATTACAGCTAATCGACTTCACATCTGCTTCAGAGTCTGTGCTCACAGTGAGTCATTATCTACTGTTTAACTAACAAGTCAAACACAGAGGAGGAACATCAGTCACTTTAATACACGATTAGAAAGATACAATCACAAACTCTGATCGTTTATTTTGTAGTTATTTTGGGGCTTGTCAATAATGTTATGTAAGTGTATGAGCAGACTGTTTAAAGGGTCTATATTACACTATTTTGTATCTATGTTATAATGTTTCCTCATCAAAAACATACCCAGAGTTGTGTTTCGCTTCTTTCACACATGTATAACACACAAACCTTGCATATTTAGGCTGAGATCTCAATCAGAATCAGAAATCCCTCTGTTCCACCTTGTGATGTCATGTAGTAATACAATAAGTGCTCCATACATCTTCAATAATTTGTGTTTGAATTTTATCCCTTTAATTGCCTGTTTTTATTGAAGAAAAGGTAAAAGGTAGATGTCAACTTGAAAATTGCCACTACATGACATCACAAGGTGGAACAGACCATTTTGAGCTTTGGAGATGCAGACAGACTGATAATAAAAAGGATTACTCAAACGTGTGAGTGAAAAAAACACAACTCCAGGTATGTTTTTGAGGAGATAACAACATTCTAACATGGTTTAAGCTCAAAAGAATTATATTTATGTAACATAGGACCTTAAATTCTTAATTTTTGAACACATTTCTATGATAAAGTGATCCATCAGCACACATATGAGGGCTTCTTGATTATATAGAGGGGATATTAGCTTTAAACAGAGATAAGTCAATGGAACAAAACACAAACTCCTTTAAAATAATAAACTGATATACTTTATATAGTCACAACTGCCCAATCTGACCACCAAACACCAAGTAAGTCAGGTAACATGTTTAGTTAACTGGATAAAAAGAGAAAAGATTGTGGTTGCATGCGTTTAAAGGTCCTATATTACTTTAAGTTGACTCTTGTGAGCTTTGAGCCATGTTATAACGCTGTTACATCATCAAAAAACATACCTGGAGTTCTGTTTACTTCATTCACACATATTTGAGTAATCCTGCATTATTAGACTTTCAGCATCGCTAAAGATCAAAATGTTCTGAGATTGGAAGTTCCAGAGCTGAAACTGTCCAAATGTTCGTTAGAGAGAAGAACCTAAATATGCAGGGTTTGTGTGTTAAACATGTGTGAATGAAACAAAACACAACTCCAGGTATGTTTGTGATGAGGAAACAACATTATAACATTGATCAGAAAATAGTGTAATATGGGTCTTTTAAATTGAAATGTTCTAATTAATTACAATGAATTATAGCCTGCATAATTAACTTAAAATATAGACTTTTCCATCAAAATGAATTCAAGGATTGTTTTTACACCCCAGTTAGTCCATACTTGAGTCACTTCAGGTTTTATTTCCAAATTCTTTACACATCATAATAAAGTGTGAGTAATAGGCTACAAATATGTCATTTTCTTCTTATGCCCTTTGACCCTAAATTCTTGTGTAAAAATGGAAATATAATTTTCACTTTGAAATTATTTTTGGGAAAGCACACTCAGAAATAGCGCCCACTCCAATATGTGCTTGATATTTTTTGAGAGATATTCTGTGAGATATTAGTCATCTCATCGTCAGTGAACTTCCTCCACAGATGTCGGGGTCGAGCGTTCATGTGGGTGAAACATTGTGAAGTTATGATGTCAGGGATATTTTTGGTTTCTAATTTCACAGAATGAGGACAGATCATTGTGAAAAGATCAATCTGAAAATGAAATGTACATTATTACATTGGTTCTCAAACATTTTACACCAGGAAAATATTTGGTCTCTGGAGTACCACCAGATCTGTTTAAATTCCCAAAGAGCTCTTTGAAGAGAAAGGGTCCACGCTCAACTGTGTCCAACTGGACCTCTAGAGGCCTTAATGATTATTACACCAACAACGCGCGTTTAGACAGCCTCAAAGGGGGGATTTAAGACCATAAAAATTCAATTAAAAACCTTAGACATGTCAGTAGACTTGATCCTGGTTAAACACTACCTCAAAAGTGCTAAGCATAACATCGGCTACCCATGTCCTCTTATAGGCTATAATTAGGACCACTATATTGTAGGACTAGGCCTATGTTATTTGCAGACACCATGCCAGTAAATGTATTTAAGGACAATGACTTTTTATAATGAACAGAAAACGTTATGGTCTGAGGGATTTTTTTTTTTTTTTTTTTTTTTTATGTTGAATGCTTACATTTCTTTTAATTCTCAAAGTATTAGGCTAATGTGTCAGCCTTCAATACCAGTGTAATTGGTCTCTACGTCACTTTACGCACCGTCCTCCAGCACGTTTCTCGTCGTTTCCGGTCCGCATCCTTGTCAGCAGCATCCGCGCCATCCGTCAGTGAGCACTGCAGCCTCATCAACCCACATCACATCACCGGATCACCGTATTTAGAGATATGGAGTTCACCATCCGCGCGGCCAACGTGGACGACTGCAAGGACATCGCACGTATGATCACGGTCAGTCCGACCGCACCTCACGTGACTGGCGGGCCCTAGGATATAAGCCTGAAAGAAAGAGGAAATATTTCATTAAGTTCCTCTTTACGTCATCTCCATATCAAGTGTCCTCCCTCGTGTCCTGATTATTGGAACATGTTGGAATTGTTTTCCAGTAGGCCTCGTTAATCTAATGTCCCAATCTGATTTGTAGCTCAATGAATAATGTCTTTCTTACAGGAACTGGCAGAATATGAGAAAGCCATAGACCAAGTAAGAATCACACAAAAAGGTATGGATAAATCACATGAGAAATATTGATTTACTGTTGGATACAGTACAATCAATATCCATTATAAATGTAAACCATGACTCGTTAAAGAGCCCATATTACTCTGATCTGTAATGTTTTCTCATCACAAACATACCTGGAGCTTTGTTTTGTTTCATTCACACACACAAACCATGCACATTGGGGCTGAGTTCTTCTCTCAGACGGAAAACACAGTTTGAGATAAATGTCAGAATGTGCTCCACTGTGCTTCATACACTTTCACTAGAATCATTTGGATATTTTTTTATAATTTCAGCTCAAGAATTGCCTATCTCTGCTCAACAAAAGGCAAAATAGCTGTTAACTTGAAAACTATCACTTCATGACATCACAAGGTGGAGCAGAGTATTTTGAGCTCCGGAGATGCAGACAGACTAATAATAAAGGATTACTCAAACATGTATAAAGGAAATGTTTTTGATGAGATAACATTTTAACATGGTTCAAAGCTTACAAAGTCAATTTAGTGTAATGCAGGGCCTTTAAAAATACACATAGTTACATTGCTGTGTGAGAACTGAAACTTAACTTAACCAAACTGTTCCCAGATTTGGAGCAGGATGGATTCTCAAAAAACCCATTCTTCCATGCGATCATCGCTGAAGTGCCAGAACAGCACAAAATGCAAGAAGGTGAGAAAAAATGTTAGCAAATGCTGTTCCTTTAAGGTGCAATGCGTTACAGCACTACGCAACATCTGTGGAGTCTCCACTATTCACAGAAGGTATCATTGTACTTTTGAGCAATAGATACAACCATAATGAATAACTACTAGTTAAATGTCATATTATGGAATACTCCAGGCAAAGCAATAACATCTCGATAGGGTCAAGAAGGTAGTGGACTCTGTTCATTAAGTGGGACAGTTCACTTTTAAATTGGTCAAGGATGATCGTGGCTGTATCAGCTTGTCAAAGCCTGATCTCATCAGAGCTCAGAAGCTAAGCAAGGCTGGGCCTGGGTGGTATTTGGCTGGGAGACCGCTGGGAAAATCAGGTGCCACAGTGGGGCACCAGAGGCAAAAGCTGTTGTTGTGTCTTTGGGCAAGACACTTTACCTACATTGCCTAGTAAGAATATGGTGTCTGTGTGTGTATAATTGATGGTGGTGGTCGGAGGGGCCGATGGCACCAATTGGCAGCTTCACTTAAATGATGATTAACGATTGATTGATTAATTAATGTAAGAGTTCACATTAGTTTTTGCAGCTATTAAACTCCTTCTATGTAAATATCTTGACAGGGTGTATTTGATTCCTGTTGTGTAAGTGTGACCTTCTTCTTGCGCATCTCTTATGTAACTCTTTTCCATGTGCCACTTAACTTTTCCCTTTTTCCACTGCCCACCCATTCAGCTACATTCTGTGGTGAACCTATTCTACTGAAGCAATACACATTGAAATGCTCAAGACACTGAGCTGTCCAAGCATTTTGTATCAGTGATAATAGTATGCTACAGGGTTAAGTATTGAAATCAGATACTAAGCAACGCTAAAACTAGTATGCTCATTTGAGCAGGTATCGATACTAAAAAAGTGACATTCACAGGGCAAAAATGAACCTTTCCTGAATGGTTTTAGCTTGAGCTGTATCAGAACAAGTGTGAGCGCACATAGACTAGTATATGCCCATGGACCACTATGGAACATACCTGGACAAATGAGAGCATACACAGATATAAGACCACATGGTAATATAAAAGAAAGTACTATTATTTACCGTAGAAAATGTAATTCTCTTGTCTGAAGAAAGAGAGTTTTTAATTATTATTGTGGTACTGGAATTGACTTTGAGTACTGAGTCTGTTTAGTTACAATTTTAGTATTGTGAGAACACTGTTATGCTAATACAGGCCCATCGACAGAGATTTCTGGGCCTAGGACAAAAAACCCCACCTACTGCCCTGTGCTAATATAACAGTCTAATTTGAGATAGGTGAAATTGATGTATGTCTGTTTTGTAGTAGTAATTAGATTGCTTGACAGCATGGCTGGGGTGGAGGTCTTTAGAGTTAGATTGTTCTTCCATTGTCTGGGTGGGTTTTGTCTGGTTTCTCAAATTGTCGACCACAGTTCAATGTTCAATTAATGTTAATGTTATAAAAATGTATGTTTAGTGTAAAGTAATATAAATATGATTGGTTTAATATCATTGTTTTGACTTGTGTGTCTCTTGTCATTTCAGGTCATACCAAGGTGGGATATGCACTTTATTACTTTTCCTACTGCTCATTTAGAGGCAGAGCTGTTTTCATGGAAGACTTATATGTGATGCCTGAATTTAGAGGTACAATGTTTTTCATAACATGGCAAATATGTATAGAGACCAATATTATATCTATAATTTGTTGAAACGGTTGATCACAAAATGTACTATATTTCTTGTATCTTTTAGGGAAGGGTATTGGCAAGGCACTAATGAGCAAAGTTGCACAGGTAAGTGAATAACTGTTTTTTATCAATCATATACATTTTCACACCTTACGAGCTAGACGTTTAATTCCCTTCCTTAATAATAATACTTTAAAAAAAAAGGTATGACAGAGAATGTATTTCACAAATAGCCATTTGATGAGACTTGTTCTAATGATTTTGTCTTTTGTGACCTAAAGCTTGGTTTAGCAGCAGGCTGTCAGCAGCTGAACTTCACAGTTTTGAACTGGAACAAGTCGTCTCTGGACTTTTACTTGAATCAGGGGTGCACTGACACCACAGCGGAGACAGGATACCACTACATGTGCTGTAAAGGAGAGGCCCTGGAGCACCTGGCCCAGCCATAACACAGCCATGAACCATCTTTCAGCATCCAGGTTTAGTCACACAGAGAAATGGCTCCATCTAGTGGCCAGCTGTAAAATAACAAGGGCAACATAAAAATGGTGCATTTACTGTACAAGGCCATTACAAATATATGTATTCATAAACAGAATAATCAGATAACCCAATAATAATATCTGATTATTGCTGTATTAACATGCACATCACACAAACACATACACCTACATGTCATCTCAGTATGAAAGTACAACAAAAAACTTCAAGCAATAATCTCATCAGCTCATCAAATACATGTTTACTAAACAAACTTCACATATATTATATTATATACATCCATTATATACACTGACCCGATAACTAGGGGTTTGGGCTGGGTACTAGTCTGGGTAACTAGTCTAGACTCAATGCCATGCACTTTAATTTAATTCACTTACTATAAATTTGGATAAGACTGTGAAGAAGTGACTTGGTTTTAGCAATATTCATAACATACTTTCACTTGTAGGATATTTTTGCACAAGTATAAATATATAAATGTGACATAATGCACAAATCCCTGTTATGCAATAAGAGTTATAGACTGTTTATGGAAAATATTGTTGTCAATGTTGCACAATGCTGTATTTGCACTGCTTCATTTATTGGTATAATATTACAGCAAAACACAGTGGAGTCATGTGGGTTCATTGGACTGGTTCTACAGACTGAACTGAAAATAGCAGTCTTGGATAAGTCTCTTGTCTTTAATCCTGTCCCATTAAACTCAGAATGGCACAACCCCCAGCCACTGTTTTAAATCCAGTTTGATTTTTAAAAGAGATCTTTATGTATCATGTCCAAAAATGTAATGAGAACAGTCTGACTGTCTTTCCTCTCTCTCTAAACAATAGGAACCACTGAGACTGTTGGGAATGCTGGAATTTGAGTGTTGTTTACCAAAACTAGGAATTGTTCTGTGTTATTTTTCCTCATTATGTTTGAACAAACCGACCTAGCTTTGGAAAACAAAATGTAATTGTCTGCCATGGTCTCTTCCAAAAGTCCACCGCATGCACATATTTATATTTGCCTAGTTTGAAACTTCAGAAATCTACATCTTAAGATTCCCACATGCATTCTTCAAGTGATTTCCAAATCCAAGTTTTTAGAGGTTGTGTGCCAGTTTGAACCCAAATATGGCTAAAAAGTTAGTGTGTTGAGCTTACCTTAGGACCTAACAATATTTCTCAATCTTAGTATTTTCAAGTCTATTGTGAGATGCTACTGTTACTACTTACAATATATTTTTATGTCTTAAATATTGCATACTCAGGTATATATTGTTTAAAACTGTGTAGACAGATAGTCTTTGGTTGAGGGCAAAAGTTTGCAATGATATATGTTTTCAATTCAATAAAAGTCAGTTGTATGTGGGAATTCATGCTTTGTGCATTTGCTTCTTTGGAAATGTGAAAACAGCTCTTATGGAAACACACAGAATGGCTGACTATATTAGGCTGTATCTGTTTTGTTTCAGGGATTTCTTTTCTCTTTTTGGGGCAGTTTTAGTTTGTAATTCAATTTACTCCTTGATATATTCCCAGTTGCATCTGTGGTTAGTACCACAAAAACATACAAAAGAAGTGGTGATAGAAATGGAGTTAATTCAGAGGAATGAATAGGCTAGGCTATACGGGTACTGTACATTTTCTTTAGCCTTTTTTCTTTCCTCTTGTACAAAACAAATTAGCTTGAGCCATCAACCATTGCACATAGCTTAGATTAAAAGTCACTGCAGAGTCCGTTTGATCCTCAAAAGCAGTGCCACAAGACATCTTGTTTTGTCTACACAGGCGCCTCCGTGTGGTCACGGCGGGAGCTGTTATTCGCGTGGAGGGCACATATTTTGAGCCAAGAGCCAAGATGAAATTATGTGAGAAGCAGAGAACGCTCCGGCGCGCTTTGTCTGTTTTCTTGGGCTCAGTTGGTTGAGTTTTACGGCGGATGCACGCGCTCACCACAGCATCACACCAGTCTGGGTCCGAGTGCGTGTGTGCGCGTTCTCAAGTGTGTTTAGTCTGTCTATTAGAGTGACCCCCCAGCGAGCTGTTAAAGGAAGAGCAGAGAGCTGAGTCAACGAATCGCGAGGAGAAGGATGCAACAGTTGCACCGAGCACTCCAGGCGCGTCCTGTGCACTCAGTGGGGCAGAAGATGGTGGATTTGCACCGGACAATATAAGGAGCGTAGAACTTTATGTGACAAAGTTTCATTTGATAAGGCGGTGAGCAGTCGGAGGTTGTGCGTCTCGCTCAAATGGACAGGCACAGACGTGAGTTGAGTGGACACGCTGTGCTTCTGCGGCTATGTGGATGAAGAAGGACTTTGGTTTGGTGTGCAGCGGGGAGTAGCGGCGCAGTCTGTGCAGCCAACATGCATCGGATCGTGCAGAGGAGACGGGTGCGCAAGCTGCGCCTCGTCTGGGCTTCTCTGGCGCTCGTGGCACTGTCCTTGGCCGCGTGCAGCGCGCTCTTCACGGCGTGGACCTGGCGTCAAACCCGAGACCTCTCTCAGTCGTTTAAAGTCCTGCAGGATCGGCTTGAGCAGGTTGGTGCCAAAGATAAACAAAACAACCAGATAACCACATAGACAAACACCAAAGGCTTAACTTTACTGCGGGTAAAGTGATTGTTATGCAACTCTTTAGTGGCTGTGGTTACTGGAATCTTCGCGTGGGGCCGGCAATATGGAAAAATGCTATTCCACATTTAGGCTATGCCCCCCGCACGCTCTGTTTTCCTGCTGGGCTCACCACTTGGCGCTTTTATGGCTCACCAATAACAGCAGTCAACTCGTGCAATGAGTGTTATTTTTGTGGTCACTGCTCACCCCGCCATGTTTAATTACTTTGGTGCCAGTTCTGTACAGGCCTAGTTTTTATCTCAATTTACTGGAAAGCCTCAAATATTTGGCATGTGAGTGTGTTGTACCCAAATGACTGCGCTCCAGAGGCTCAAAGGAAGCTGGGAGCGAAATTTCAGCAAGTATTTCATGCTCCATCATGCAACAGGTACCCTATAGACTTCTGCCCATCAGCCTTTTCCACAGTCAAATAGATGAGAGTAAGATGTGCAACTTTTCATTTTAAACCAGGGCCAGTTTTAGCTTTGTGGGGGCCCCAGTAAAACCTGGTTTGGGGGCCAGGTGATTTGAGTGATTTATTTATGATCCAAGAGTGATTGTGCTGCCCAAAATCTGGTCAAGCTCAAGAGAGAATCAAATCAGAGTGATGTTGTAGACTTCTAAGCTTTTATTTTGAAACACCGTACACACCACAGTTTGATCTTCTTTGGTACCATTAAGTAAGTTACCAGTAGGGGGAGTAATGAGCAAGTGTGAAATCAAATATGTTGGTGTTGACTGTATCCAACTGTGGGAATGGGGTATTGTGTTACTTACAAACGACACCTTGTATAGTGCCACCTGTACATCACTGCCTACTTCAAATGTTGACTAAAGTTACGTATCATGTAGTTATTTTGTGTTATTAGTTGTGTAGTTATTTCGTAGCTGCTATAAATGCCTTTTGCAATAGAGTAGTATAAAATAGAGCAACCTTTGGCAACAAACAGTCTGTGGAATTCAGAGAAATGTCCACTCGGCAGAGCTCCTTTTTAATGTCATAAGCACATACGGAGCCTTCAAAGTTGCATCACAAACTTAATTATTTCGCCAAAGCGGCCAACGACCTGATGGAAATTCCTCTGGAGTATTTACAAAGCGGAGCTGCAGTGGAGCTGGGATTAGACGACAGGTTGGCGGCTGTACTGTTGACAGACCTGCACACACATGTGCACTAACGCTAAACCTGGAGTGTTGATGCTGGAGTCTTTCCCAAGGGGTCCACTCTCTGTCCATTTGACCCACAGCCAAGTTCTGATCAGAGCAAGCAGTCTCAAGACTCGCACAGTAGCAGTATATTCACTTCTCTTCTTACTTCACTCGGGTTTCCTTCGGTCATCCGATGGGCCCCATGCCAAGCAGCCTATATCGTTGCTGGCTTGACAAAATCCATTTCGTGGTAAAGTAAGAAGTGAGGAATTTCAACGGCTGAAAACATTAGGTGTTGCAACGTCTCTCCTGAGGAAGTGCTATTCTGGAGCTGAGCTGCAGTCGGAGAGTGGAAAAGCTGTTGATGTGACTGGCTGGAAGAGGCCGTCTGGCTGTGTGGGAGCAGTGCCAGCTCAAAGTCATAATAAACCCATCGCACATTTGTTAATAGTGAACGTTTCTCTCTCTTTCAACAGGTTAATACACAGAGGAAGGCCATCGTTCAACTCATTCTGGAGAAGAGAGAGCTGCTGGTCGGCCAGAGAGTCAAGAGAGACGGTATTGCATTTCTGTCTCACATGCACTGACCAATCGCGTGCTCAGTGCAGCCCACATCAGCAGACACAATACTTTTGCGTGCGGTTGAGCTTTTGAGGGAAGAACGTTTAACGCAAACGCTGCCCAGTGTTGGTCCACATGCCGTTCTGGTCAGCCCCAGCTGCCCACAGGCACTGCCCGCTGCTAAAAGTCGACACAGGAAAAAGTAGGCAGAGGAATGGCTGTTACAGAAATTACAGGGCTGACCAGAACGGCCTCAGGAACAAAACAAAAAAAAAACAGCTGCCGCAGTGAGGCTTTGTTGCACTCTTTAGGAGAAAGACATTGATCTGTTCTCACCATAGGCTGTCCGCTGGCCCAGCACAGATTATGAAAGATATTTGATGACCTATCATCAGTGGAGTATATTTATAGCAGCTGCTTACATCACAAGATGCTGAGGTTCATCCAAAAGTGACCTCAAAGTCAGGATTGCATGCGTTTAGGTTAGAGCAGTGGTTCCCAAAGTGAGGTTTGGAGATATATCAAAAATATAATATTTAGCCTCAAAATTGTTTAAAAACTCAAGTTCAATAATACAAACTTTGTACTAGATCCTTGATTAAGTCCCAGTAGACATTGACCTAACTGCATATGTATAATATGGATATTAGTAATGCAATGTACAAAGCATTGTAGTGTTGTTTTCCTTTTTCAAAGTCACTATCAACAGCCCGATGAAATAAAAGGTTTCCCTTGAATGCCTATCCGGAGCTGACAAAAGGATTTATTAGGAGTGTGCGTGTATTGACGTCCTGCAGGTATTTCAGCAGTAAGTGATATCTGAGCGAGTCTTCCAAAACGCATTAAGCAGCCCGCGGCTATCAGTGGAAACAAAGTGCTTTTTCCAGTGAGTGGAAAGTGGAGCGCTGGTGCAGGACACTGCTGTTATGTTCTGCTGATGACTGACAGCAGGACTCAGGAAAGCCTTGCCGGCCCGGGGGCTTTCGCTCGCCCAGAGCAGAGCCTGAGCTCGGGGTCACCCACCTGTGAGTTATTTTAGCAGGGGCTTAATATTCCTACAACTGTGGAGGCCTGCCGTCTCCAAACAGAAAGTATGTATTTCACAGTTCATACATACAGTGTTTGGGTTATATTTGTCTTTTAATGACTCCCCTGAGGCCTGAATGCATGGCTAAAATAAACCGTGGTGGGTAACAGGAGTACACATTTTCCAGCGCTGCTCTTTTTGAGGTCTTTATTTATTGTAGTTTGCTTCACTCTTGTCCTAATCGACTCTTGGCTCGGCCAAAGACCTCTTGTTTCCGGCACTTCATTTTTCTCATTCTGCAGTAGTTTTTGCTGCTCAGCCTGAGCCATTTGTATGAGCCTATTAGTAAATAAGGATCACATTAAGGGCCAAAACATCTAACATCCCACTTAGCAGTTGTTTTGTCTGGTGACAGTCTTGTCTTCTGTCTTTTCTCTCTTCGCTCTCTCCATCCTCTCCCACTTCCTCTGCGATCTGTATTTTCTACATGACGGCAACCAGCTGGCACTAAGATTAGCCCCCACAGGAAAAAGAGAGGCACACGCGTTTGGACTGAAAATAACATTTTGAGGAAATATATTGAAGCACGTGAAAGGAAATCTGTGCCCGTCTGCAAACCGCATTATGGAGCAGCCAGGTTCAGTCGTAATGGCTGCAAATGAACGCAGCGTGTTATTATACAGATACAGATGGGAGTGATTGTTTTATCAAAAAACCACAGACATATTTTCATAGCCTTCATTCACAGTCTGTCTTCTTGCCTTTTGCAGGGGGAACGCTGCGCGGGAGGAGCGGGAATGGAAAAAAAGCCGCGTCTCATTTTGAAAGTAAGTGGCCTGGCAGATTGTTACGGTGGTCTCGAGTAGCATCTGCTCAAGTGGTTTCAATCATATAGCCTTATACAATTGCACTAATAAAATCTTAATTGACTTTCCTTTTTCTTTCTTTTTAAATGGCTTTTCATCGTCCCACCAGTAACCAAAGTGTCCTCTCAGCAAGGTAAGGCCTACAGACCATATATCAGTGGTGCAAGTAGTAAAGTACTGTACTTAAGTAGGATTTTTAGGTATTTGTAGTTTACTTCAGTACATTTTACAGTGGATGCTTTTTACTTTTACTTCACTACATTTGAGAGCAGGTATCTGTACTTTCTACTCCACTACAGTTTTACTGAACTGAAAAGTTAAAAGTACTTTTGATATGATTTCACTTTGTTTATTTTTACCAACATCCTGACTAAAGTTCAAGCTCTGAGCAAACATAAATACACAAAATTCATAAAAATGATTTCAAATCTATCTTTTAATCAGTGTCACTACATTTTAACAAATTAACAACATTTGTGTGAAATACCTTCTTTTTACTCTTAAAGTACATTTTAAACAGGTACTGTCAATACTTTTACTTAAGCCAATTCTTTCAAGTGACACTTTTACTTAGTTTTAACTTCTTTTTACCTGTGTATCTGTACTTTTACTCAAGTAACAACATTGAGTACTTAATCCACTAGTGTCATATATGAGTGCTTGCGTGTGTGTGATAATAACAGTAGCTCTTGTGTGGCAGTGGGAGATGGTGGAGTCATTAAAGGCTGGGAAGAGAGGACACTGAATATGACCAAAGCAGTGAGGTACAACAAAGACTTGGGCACCTTCACTGTGGAGAAAGCAGGGGTCTACTTCTTGTTCTGCCAGGTATGTCTCACAAGGTCATTTGGAGTTATGATGATAAGGTCAAAACAATAAATAAAAAAAAACATGTCTGAAGGAGTGCTCCACAAAACAGAAAACAAATCTGAATTATTGTTGTCACATAAACTTGTAGATTTACTCACAATGAGAAGAGCAACCTAAACACTGTGTAAATCACTTATTTTATTGTACTGATACTCTGCAGTGACATCTTCTGGGGTTGTTTTTTGATGGAATGTTCACCAATTACCGTGGAGACACAATACAGCCATAAGCAAAGACAAAGACAAAGTTTTAAGAAATTGGATTTAAACAGCACATTTTCAGGGGCCTGTGATCAGTACAAGTGTTCATGGTCATGTTTAGGAGTTTGATTTTCAACAAAAAATGTGAGAGTGATTAACTGAAAAACTATTGGCTAATGCTACTTAGCCTGTAACTGTACTTTTATGTGTGAGAGACTTGTTTAATCACCTTCTAACAGAGCAGTGCTTTCAGTTAGCATCGCACTCCCAGGGAATATGGATGACATCAGCTGCAAAATATCAGTAGGAAGGGATTTCAGACCAATTCACTTTCTTGAAGGTAGATTAGTATAGTGGACCATTTGTGACACTGAGTACATATTATTTGAAAAGTAGAGGAACTGTTATCTGGATTGTCTGATTTTTGGCTCTTCTGGGATGATTAATTCTACTAAAAATTGAGTTAATTATTGTTCTTTTCCTCTACCCGACCCAAATAAAAGGGAAACTGTGTGAGAAGCAATTATGGGACTTGGTAGAGCGCATTTCAAAAACATGATCAGGTTTCAGGGCACCATCTTCGAGAGTTGTTCCATGTCTTGTCAAGGTGAAATGAGGTCTGGACAAAATCAGAAAAAAGCAAAGTTCTTGAGTTGAAGTCGCAGCAGGATTTTGGTTGAAATTAGACATACTACTTATGACTGAACCAATAAGACGGGATGATAAAGACTTGGCCATGAGGTCATGCTTTAAAGGTCCTATATTACACAAAACTGACTCTTGTGAGCTTTATGTTAGAATGTTTTTATCCCCCAAAAACATACCCAGAGTTATGTTTTGTTTCGTTCACACATGTTTGAGTAACCCTTTGTTATTAGTTTGTCTTGGCAATTCCATAAATCATTCAGATGATTCTAATGAAGGGGTATGAAGTTTCAAAACACAGTGCAACACTTCCTGTATTACCACATGACATCACAAGGTGGAACAGAGTGTTTTATGTAAATATGCAGGGATTGTGTGTTAAATGTGTGAATGAAACAAAACACAACTCCAGGTATGTGATGAGGAAACTATTTTATAACAATAATCAGAAAACAATATGGGCTCTTTAAAGGTGGACTGTGTAATTTTGTTTTGGGGGTCAGTTACCATAGAGATATAAATGCTTTGCCTGGAATGTTACTCAGTATGACATTCATCTGATCTATTTTACATTTATTCATTTTCAGGTTTTTATTGCTTAAAATATATTTTAAAAATATGCTGACACACCTCCACAGCTCTGACCTGTAATTTGGCCTGGTGTCCCAGGTCAAGTTTAATGCTATGTTGTCAAACATTCTCAGAAAAGATTCCAGCAGGTGATGGACCCTCTTTCAGAAAAGTTACATAGTCAATTTTGAGTCTCTTATTTGTCTGTGCCACAGACTGTTTTATATAAATGGATATAACTAACCTGCTAGCCACCGCATTCCAAATAGGACATGTACATTGGGGTGCTTCCGGCTCCAGCAACTCTGGCTCCAATTAACTTAACAATGAAAACATTTTACCTCTCTCTCTGTAACTGCTGCAGTGAGCCTCGTCATTTTGGTCTTAAAATGTTCTTATTATCCTGCTCTTCATAATCCTACTGTTTTTTATTTCTCTATTTTGTCTGCAAATAAATTCCTATTCCTAATATGGAACTGGTTCCAAATTCGTCTCTATAATTGTCAGCATCGTGAGCTTCATTTGACTTGAGCTGAATGCTATGGGTGACGTCACACACCCTCAGTCCACTTATTTATATAGTCTATGGTCTGGTGCAGAGTCGGGAGCATAAACCAGATGTTAAAGGGCCCATATTTTCTGATGTATGTTATAAATGTTTTTTCCTCATCAAAACCTGGAAAACTGAAAACACTCTGTTCCTCCTTGTGATGTCATGTGGTAAGACAGGAAGTGCTCCACTGTGTTTTTAAACTCCAAAACAAACAAAACAAAAGGTAAAAAGTAGCTGTTAACTTGAAAACTACAACTACATGACATCACAAGGTGGAACAGAGCATTTTGAGCTTTGGAGATGTAGACAAATTAATAATAAAGAGTTACTCAAACATCTGTGAATTAAACAAAACACAACTCTAGGTATGTTTTTGATGAGGTAACAGCATTATAACATGACTTAAAGCTCACAGAGTCAGTTGTGTAATATAGCATCTTTAATGGTCATTATGTGCAATTCATAAACCTTGCATAGTTTTATAGAAAGATAAAACATTGTCAAGTGAAAAACATAATACTAGTAAAGCTCTGAATCCATAATGAACAGTGTTTGTGTGGTGTACTTGAAAAACATCATACTGGTAAAGCCTTGAATCTAACTATCTGTTTGCTATCTGCTCACTCAGGTCCTGTTTAACGAGCAGGAGTCTCAGTATGTGAAGCTGGACGTGGTCACAGTCGGGCACAGGCCTCAGAAGCTTCAGTGCATGGAGGGCTACGGGACCACCCCCTCGGCCGGCCCCCACAACTTCCACTTCCTGAAACCGTGCCAGGTGTCCGGGCTCCTGCGTCTGGACAGGGGCACGGAGCTTCAGGCCATCACGGGACCCTCCTTCAGACTGCACACGGTTGGCAACCCCTCAGCCTCTCCGCACGTTTTCAGCATCTTCAAAGTCAACTGACACCAGAGTTCACTGAAGGAAGAAAAAAAAGTTGCGGAAACTTCTATTGTGTGGCAGTGCCTTTTTTGTGGTCACAGATTTTTGGGCCATTGCAAAATGCTGATGTTAATTTAAAAAGCAAGCCTGCCATTTGTGGAAGTTGTTCTGGACAGTTTCTGTACTGCGCACTGCTGCTTTGGAACTCAATATAGACTTTGGACAGGTACCAAGGCTCAATGGACCAAATGCCTGGACCAATATTTGAGGGAACAGATGTGACGGAAACTATTCTCTAGATAAGGCTTCATATGAAGGCAGAACTACATGGATTTTCAACTTAGTCTTAGTATTGTGGTCCATATTGTGCTTACATTCTTGTCATGACAGAGACTTCAGACAGTAAAGCTGTGCATGCACCTTCCACTTTGATTTTGTTCAGATAGTGCGCTCACATCACATCTCAGTCCAGACCCCTCTTTCTACTTTTGTGTTTTTTTACCAAATAGTTGGCACTCCTACAATGCAATATGTGTGTGTTTGTGTCCAGTGCCTCTCTTTTATCTGAATCATATTTAAAGATGCTCAAGAGCTGCTTTTATAACATGGATGTGAATTTGCTGTTTTGCCTGATGTTTAAAATGGGTTATGTGATATTTTATGGAAAACAACTTTTATTGAAAAAACTTCTTTTGTAAAGAAGGACACTTGGTGTTGATTTAAAGGTACATTATGTAAAATTTAGTTATTCAAAATGTGTTTTCATTATATTTTATCATATTATATTTAGTAATCTTCTTTTGGTTTGCCTTTAGATTTTATGTCCTCCCCAAGGTTACTGTAGGTACTTAATGGAGCTAGTATTTAGACCTGTCATGATAACAAATTTTGAAGTACAATATAAAATAATAATAAAATATAGGCAATAAACAATAATATTGAAACTAACTGATTATTCCCCCCTTAAAAATATTATAAATTTACAATATTGTTAAAAGAATATGAGGTGATGTTTATATCTATAATGAGTGATAAAAGTTATTTATTCAAACCTAGAGAGCTCAAATCTTATCACAGTACAGATAAAATGACCAACTATTCCCCAAAATCCAAAGAAATTGTACACACGATAAGTACTGAGTCCCAAAAATATTGTCAGGTACGATAAGTCAGTATGGTAATTATCATGACAGGTCTGCTAGCACTGAGTGACTGTATACCAAATGTGTACAGATTTCTATTTTACATAATATAAAGGGACACTATTTTGAACACCTGCTAAACAAGTATAAGCAGAGTAACCACTTTTAACAGTATTTTGTCTTCAGTATTCTTACATAAACATCTTATTGTCATTGATTCATTTCTGAAACTGTAGAGTGGCTTTGGGGTGTGACACATTCAAACTCTTCAGGGCCAAGTCTGAGTCTGGGACCAAAAAGTGCTCCATCATTCACCTTAAAGTGTCCTTAAAGGTACACTGTGTAACTTTTCTTGTGGAAGTCTGCCAACTGCTTGTCTCCATGGAGTTTTTACTGCTTTGCTTGGAATGTTCCGCAGTGAAGCATTAATCTCATTTATCTCCACGAAGATAAACAGAAATGAAACTAGGCCTAGATACAGGTCAGATCTGTGGAGAGGCGTTTCATTGTATTTTAAGAATCCCTATTTTTCAAAGCAATAAACACATCTGTAATGGAATAAATGTAAAGTAGACAAGTTTAATAACGCAGTGAGAAAAATTCCAGGCAAAACAATCACATCACCATGGAGACGACAAGCAGGTGGTGGATGCTTTACAAGAAAAGTTACAGAGTGCACCTTTAACATGCTGTAGCTGCTTTGTGTCATAATCCTACAACAAAAACAGTGTATATTTTGAGCAAAAGCACTCCCACTCTTGTTTATAAGTAGTTTCGCGGACAGACCACAACGTTTTCTCCTGAGCACTTTACTGCAGCGAAAGGAGTTTTTTAATTAGACCCAAACTTGAGCCTTTTGAATGGAAAAAGTTGGGTGTAGACATTGATTTCCTAATGTTTGCTTGTGTGTTGGTCACATAGCCGCGTGGCCTATTTCTCCATCAGCACAGAGTAGACCACAGTGTGTCCCGCTCACTGGCAGCTGGCTACATTTTCACTTCCTGAATTTAACCCTGAAGCACATAGCTCAGAGTCTTTGAGGAAAAAAATACATGGCTCCCTTCTCCTCGGCCACTTCTCACACTTCTGCTCCTATTCCTACTTGTTGAAATGTCAAATTTTATTGCGTTTTGTAAAGTCTGTGTAAAAATGTTTTTGTATAATGATGTACTTAAAGCCAGATTTCTTTTTTTTACTTTTTTAAAGCACATGTATAATAAACAAATTGTTCTTACTGCTTTGTATTATTATTAGTTCATTTAAAAGGTAATAGAATAGACAGCATTGTTTAAAGGTCTTTTGTTACGCAAAACTGACTCTTGTGCGCTTTTTAATGTTGTTACTTCCTCAAAAACATACCTTGAGTTGTGTTTTGTTTCATTCAGACATGTTTGAGTAATACTTGGTGATTAGTCTGTCTAAATCTCCAAAGATCAAAATGCCATGAAGCAGTAGTTTTCACCTAGTTCACTGGAGATTGGGTCTGAAATTATTCCAGTGATTCTAGTGATTGTGTATTGAGTTAAAAACACATTGAAGCACTTCCTGTACTACCACATGACATCACAAAGTGGAACAGAGTGTTCATTTTGAGAGAAGAACTCAGCCTAAATATAAAGGGTTTGTGTGTTAAATGTGTGAATGAAATAAAACACAACCCGAGGTATGTCTGTAATGAAGAAACAACATTATAACATAGATATAAAGTTTAGTTAAGAAAATAGTGTAATATGAATAGTTTAAGACTCGCCTCTTTGTGAGCGTTAGATGTTAAATAGTGATCGGTCAAGTGCCTGTACATTGGTTGTTTTCTCATTAATCAACATATGAATCTAACAAAACAATGACACAGATCCAAATCACTAAATTATGGGAAGAAGACATTGACTTTACAGTTATTTTCACAACCTCCGCTCATGACAAGAATCAATGGGTGGAGGTAGTTATGGCAACGGACAGGCAAAGTCTGTGGTTCTCAAACTGTGGTACACAGACCCCTCTAGACTTATAATGCATTTTCTCTTTTTCTTTGGGTTAGTCCTTGTTTAGAACTCCTGGAGCAATGGTGTAGTTCTAATTTAGACCTGTTCAGTCCTGTTATAGATCTGGTTTAGAACTGACGGTAGTCAGAATATTTAACATATATAATATATATATTTTAAGTGGTTCTACTCAGCTTTCAGTTGAATAAAGCAACCTGGGATTTAGCTTGGGTTTGCAAAAATAAATGAATAAAAAATAAAATAAAATGTTGTTATTAAATGCTGTAGGGCTTTACAAAGACAGTAGACTGTGCTGTTCAGTGTGATGCTTTTAAGCTTTTTTTTTCAGTTAAGAAAGTTCACTAAAATCACCCCCTTCCTTGGTGAACAGTTGGTGTTCTCTGCACACGATGCCACGTCCCCTGACCTGCAGTTATAATGAGTTTAGTGCAGAGTTTAATGTGAGTACAGACATCTGCTCTGAAGAGCCACCAACTGTCAGCTAAAATGTGAGAAATTTGTCATCAGTTTGAGCAGTGATTAAGCCCCTTTTAAACTACACGGCTTCAGTAGTTAGCCTACCTGAATTAGAGAGAATTATAATACAGTGAGCTCTAGCTGTGATGAAAGTGAAAATAATTTCCTGTCACCACTTGTGTCCTTGGATGCTCATACCAAAACAGAAAATAATTTTTAAGGCTTTTTAAAGGACAAATGTTTGATTAACCTCAAACGCCTTTATAGAGTTCAAATTGGAACATGTTTTAAGAGGGTGACAAGGAGATTTTCCAGACTCAGTAGCAAAGCTGTGTATATAATAAAATATACTTAAGATAATTAATACTCTTCCCACACTGATGAAAGATTATTCTGTGTACCTCAGAGATTCACTGGTACAAGAAACAATATACAATACAAACTATTCAAACAAGTACAAAACTACTATGAGTGCTGTTAGTTAAGTAGACATTTTTTTGTGCAGGTTACAGTGAATTGAGAAAAAGTGACAAAGCCTCTGAGTTGATTCATTCAGTTTTATTAAAAACCAAAAAAGGAAAAGAAAATAAAAGATGCGTCATTATTGACATGTTTTCACTGTCACTCATCGTTTGATCACTACATACACAGTGACACAAGATACCCAGAAATGAACACAAAATCCTGCCCAGAAGACGAGGAGAAACATGGAGAAAAAGAACTAAGTGCTTTTGTTTTAGCGACGCAACATTTTAGCTCGGGGGTTGCAACAACCTCGGAAATCTGAATTTCCTGGTTAGAACCGTGCAAAACGCATGGGAATGGGAATAACTCTTGGACACTTTTAGTTAAATTAAATGAAACTACACTAGGATTTACACTTGACATCAGGTTCATAAATTAATTTGATGACTTACATTTCCAGCTATGATTATTAAGGCGCTTTTTAATGATAACTGTATAAAATGGATTTCCAGCCTAGGATTTTTAAGTATAATACTTGAAATTCAATAAGATACATTTTTATTTGCTTATAGTAGCCTTTAGGGTTACATAGTTTCATACATGTTATTTGCAAGCCCCAAATCTAAAATGTAAGCAAACAAAATGTGTAATATCCACTTCTGAAGTTACAGGCCAACTTCTTCGTTCTCTTGGAGTTATAGAACAACATGGCAAATTTAAGTGCATCCTGTTGGACACATAGTTACAAAAAATGTCTCTTTTGGTAGAAGCTCTTTCTCAAATAGTAGCAACAAGAATAAAACAGCAACATTGACGACAACAATACTCAGAACTGTGTAGAGTAAAAACACAAGAGATAATCACAAATGCTTAAATATGCAAAGTATCACAGGATTGGTAGAAAGTAATAGAAATTTGGAAAACATAGTATTGAGGAGTGTAGAAGGGAAGGTCTGATAACACTGACTTACTTATGAAAGGCTATAAACATTCATAGGAGATCTTTTCTGAAAAATAGCATTGTTGAGGCTTGGCACGGTTGCCATGTAAACCTCAGAGAGATACCTCATAGCTCTGTACAAGGATGAAATTCAAAATGGCAGACAGTGGAGCGTGGCGGGACGACAGCAAAAAATCAAAAATTATTACACCTGCGTTGCGTTATCTATAAGTACCGTTGAAAAAATGCAAAAAGGAGACGCTGTGCTCAAATACTCCCAAGTCTGAGAAAAAGCATCTCAGAAAAAATAGACAGTATTAAAACAATTGTAGGCACAGCTGTTATCTTTTTATTATTATTTCACTTTATATTGTGTTTAGAGCATGCTTTGAGGGATGGAGAGATTTTCATGCAGTTTCCTGGTGAGTTGTAAGGAAAGATGATTGCGTGTAGGCGAGGTTAGTAAATAGCAACCCTAGAGGAACGCCAGGCCCATCCTGAAGGCCTTGGACATCATGAGGAGTCTTGGTTTGAGGCAGAGATAGTTACAAGAATCTGATGGACTATATGCGCGGACAGTAAGTGCACATGTGCGTGGGAATACTGCGTTTCATGAAGGAGTACCAGTTAGTGCTAAAAAAAATAAAATAAAAATAATAATAATAACAATTGTTTCCCAAATCTACAGCTCTGTAAAAGTGTTGGCTATAGGAGCTATTACAATCAAAAACAAGGTACGCCTTCGGTCAGTCAATGGGTAAAACACTGTGTAAAAGGGGGCGTGGTCTAGTCGTCAATACAGATGACCTCTCCGCTGCGCTGCTCCCGTCGGTTGATGAGAAGTTCAGCCTCGCGTTCCTTCTTCACGGACATGGGAGGCCCGTTCAACACTGTGGACGACAAATAAACACCAGATTTAAGTGCAGTCGTTCCAGCTCTCTCTTTCTCTCTCTCTCTACCCCTCCCATCTCTCGCTCTCTTTCTCTCTCTCTGCCTCCACTTTAGGGACAGGAAGAACAGCGTATGCTCTATAAAATGAGTCTAGTACAGTGATACATCTGTCCACTGTCTTTTCATATGTTTTCACCCAAACCCAATTACCAAATTTTGAAAGGGAAGTGCTGTCTGTATTTTTTATTTTTACTTGTACATATACATTTATATAACACCGTATTTGACACCAGTTTCTTCTTTCTGTTATATTATATTGTGATGTGTGAGCTACTGTGTCCAAGTAATTTCCCTTGTGGATCAATAATGTTTAAGTCTAAGTCATATTATACAGTGTAGCAGGCATTACAGTGAGATCTTAGGTCAATGTAAAATCATATTACAGAAATATGACACCACTGTAAACAGCACTAACAGAGTTTAGCATTAACTTTGCAGTAATATCGCGTTGGCGGTGTTCTACATGTATATTTATGAAGGAATGTTCATTATAGTTGCCATGGAGACAAAATGAACAAAACACATCCAAAAAAAAGTTCTGAGATAGTCTAAAATACAAACAGCACATTTTCAGGAGCCTGTAATCAATACGAGCGTTCATGGTCCTGTTTAGCTGTTTGATATTCAACAACAAATGTGAAAGACTAACTGAAAATCTGATGTTTTTCTAATGCAAGCTAGCGTGCCGACTGTAATGTTATTTGAGAAGGACTTGTTTAACAGCACAAATCAGTTTACCTGTTGTAGTTCCAGCTACATTGGTTATTCATGGTCAGATTATGTTAAAACAAAGATCAGATTAGAGTCTAACAGAGCTTCTGACAGAGTAGTGCCTTCAGTTAGCATCACACCCCCTGGGAAGTATCAACAGTCATGAAGAAGTACTTACAATTTGTAATGATACTATGATTGTGAGTGGGATTTACTTAATTTAATTCAGGATAAATCTGTATACCACAGTTTGAGAAACACTTATAAAAACCAGATGGCTTCAAATTGACAAAACCACAATTTTTTTTCAAGTTGGATTATTTTTTACCTTTGACAGTCAACCGGTTCTTAAAAACAGAATTAGTTAATTTACAAAAGAATACAGAAAGGGTGCTGGGATGTTTACAAAGGGACTGTAGATTTAATAGAGTGTCTTTCGGTTTTATATCTTAAACTGCTAAAATTAATTAATCCTAACTGTGCAAATCAGAGATGAGTTAAAGATGCATTGTGTAACTTTTCTGGTGGAGGGTCCGTGGTTTCTCCATGGAGACATCATTGCTTAGTCTGGAATTTTCAAGATATAACACTACTAACTACTAACTGCAATTTTAATATGTAAAGTAGAGCTGTTTAGTGTCATACTGTGGAACATTCCAGGCAGAGCAATGAAATATCCATAGAAACAAGCAGGTGACAGAACCCCAACCAAAAAGTTGCATAGTGCACCTTTAAGAGAGAATCTACCCTGTCAAACTGAAACATATCAAATCAAGATGTGGTCCACAACACACAGGATTTACAGTTTTGGTCAAATATTCTTTGATCCGTTGAGACCACTAGGATCAAACTAGCTTTGAGGTGGCCATCTTTGTTTTTTGGCTCGCTGAATTGGCAATAAGTACAGGCATGCTTTTGAGATTATTGGACTAGAGCTGATTGATTATCCAAAAGAAAATATTGTATCCGCAAAGATTTGGGTTACAATTGAAATGGAGAATATTTGAAACTATTATTTATGGACTGTCAAAAGTTAAAGGCCCTGTATTACGCAAATTTGGCTCTTGTGACCCTTAAGTCATGCTATAATTCTGTTACTTTATCAAAAACATTCCTGGATTTGTGTTTTGTTTCATTCACACATGTTTGAGTAACTCTTTATTATTATTCTATCTATATCTCTAAAGCTCAAAATACTCTGCTCCACCTTGTGATGTCATGAAGTGGTAGTTTTCAAGTTAACAACTACCTTTTAACTTTAGTTCAGTGGAGATTGGCAATTCCAGGGCTGAAATTATCCAAATAATTCAAGTGAAGGTATATGGCATTTAAAAACACAGTGGAGCACTTCCTGTATTACCACATGACATCACAAGATGGAACAGAGTGTTTTCTGTTTGAAAGAAGAACTGAGCCTAAATATGCAGGGTTTGTGTGAATTAAACAAAACACAACTCCAGGTATGTTTGTAATGAGGAAACATTATAATATGGATCAGAAAATAGCACAACATACATTAGGTCGTTTAAACTCGAGGGGGTATAGATAATTATCAGTGATTTGTGTCAGAGTAGATATGACTGTTCTGCAGGTTTTGTGGGGCATAACAAGCAGCCATAACATTCAGGAGAATTTCATTTATTTTGTATCAATAGCATGCTTTTATAATTGATTATGGTAAAATTTCATCAAAATTAAAACTTGGTTAATGCCACAGGTCTGTATCAAAAGACCTGGTTGGGATGGTTGGCTTTGGCCAGCACAGACCGAAGTCCTCCTATAGTGTCAAATATTTCAACAACTTCCACAGTGTAATTTAATGCACCGTTTAACATCAACATATAGCTTGGTATAATGTTTTCTGATGTTATCACGAACATCTGATGACAAGGCCTGAAGATTTAAAGAAACTGTACAGACAGAACAAAAATATTTGAGAATACTAAATAAAGAATACTCTTACATAAGTCTTCCAACAGTCTTCTGTTGCAAACTGCATATTTTGGAATGGTATAGGGGAGCTGATAAAACATGCCTTAAAACATTATATCAAAGAATAGTAGAAGTAGCAGTACTTGGTGAGAGACTTCCATGGTACTGGCTCTGTCTCACAATTGTAAAGGAAATCCTCCCTCATTCTTTTTTAAGATTTTCATGTATTTCCACAGAAATCTAGAGATAATTCTATGGTCTGTGAGAGAGAGAAGGAAGGCTGTAATATGTGATTTAAAGGTGTACTATGTAACTTTTCTAGTGGAGGGTCTTCTACCTGCTTGTCTCCATGGAGATGTTGTTGTTTTGCCTGGCATTTAACTTATCTATGGTGCATTTATTAAATTCTCAGTGTTTTATTCCTCAATAATACCAGGAAAATCACTACTGTGAGTGGGCTCCGCTCTCCACAGTTCTGACCTGGAACTTGGCTTAATGGCATCACCTGCTTGTCTCCATGGAGATAAACAAGATGATTGCCTTATTGTGAAACATCCTAGGCAGAGCTATAGCATCTTCATAGAAACAAGGTGGTAGACCCTCTTCCTGAAAAGGTTCAAAGAGCACCTTTTCCAAAAAAGTAATGACTGAACCACCAAAAATTGTCAAAAAAGATAAAGCACTAAAATAATCAAATAAAAATTATGTTTTGTACATTTTAATGAGAAACCAGGCATACAGTATTTCATTACTACATACACTGTCATATATACATATACACACTGTCATAAGTACCATCTGTACTAAAAAAAACAGACTACTTTAAGGTGCACTGTGCAACTTGTTTGTTGGAGTCACCTGCTTGTCTCCATGGAGGCATGCCTAGAATGTATATAGAAAGTATAGCAATAAACTTATAAATCTTCATGAAGACTTGCTAGCAAATTACAGATTACATTTGTGAAGAGACAAGCCCACTCACAGTAAGAATGGATGTTTTTAAGATATTTTTGAGCAAGACACCATACTGTGGACAATTTAAATCAAAGCATTAACATCTCCAAGGAGACAAAATGTTGCAGACCCCCTCCAGAAAAGTTACACAGTTCACCTTTAAGATCAGAATAATAACTATATAACAATAATTAAAATTTAGAATGTTACTTCTCAGTACAACTCTACAACAAGACAGTGAGGGATTGGCTTTTCTCATGTCTGCGCAGTGTAGTGTGAAACTGCAAAGGGGAGTGTAGCGGGCGGGCTTCTTTTCAAAACAACGCCAAGAATAGACACTCAGCGTACTTCTCTCGCCAGTGCCATGGGAGAAAATAAACTGCCGTAACACCCCCACACTGATCAAAACCCGCGATAAGAGCTGTGTTAAGCTGCAGACATCCACCACTGCCTGAGCGCACTTCCAGAGCCAAAGGGGGGAGCGCTGTTGGGAAAACTTATGGCAATGGTCCAGCGGAGGCCAGAACAGGGGATGCTGAAGAGGAGGGAGGTAGAGAGGTAGAGGAGTGAGATAAAAGTCAAACACACGGAGGTGAAAGAGCAGCCGATTTACATAAGGACCTCTGGAGTTCACTGCAGACTACAGGATTATAATATTGGATAATGTATGGAGTTTATATAGCTACCATTTAAGCGTTTGAATCCATCATTGGACATAATACTCAGACCTGAATTGAGAGTTAATAGGGAATACTGTAAACATGGATGAATAAAATGCTTCTAGGAATACACTCAAGTCGGAACCATGTTAGGAAATTTCTGGGCTTGATTTTAAATAGCCTGTGTTGTCATTGGAAGTTGATCATATTACTGTCTTTGAATGTTTTTATTGACTTTAAGAATAAACTAAAACTAACTGCTATTTCTGTTAATTCATACTCCTCAAAAACATACATTGAGTTGGGTTTAATTCACACACTTTTGAGTAATCTTACCCTAATTATTATTAGTTTGTCTATATCTCCAAAGCTCAAAACGCTTTGTCCCACCTCATGATGTCATGAAGCAGTAGTTTTCAAGTTAACAGCTACCCTTCACCTTTAGTAGAGTAGTAGAGATTGGCAATTCCCAATCTGAAAGTATCTAAATGATTCTAGTGAAGATGTATGGAGTTTAAAAATACAGTGGAGCTCTTCTTTTATTACCGCATGACGTCACAAGGTGGAACAAAGTGTTTTCTGTTTAAAAGAGGGCTCAGAACTGAGCCTAAATATACATGATTTGTGCATTAAACATGGCTGTATGGAACAAAACACAACTCCAGGTATGTTTGTGATGAAAACACAACATACAGAAAATAGTATAATATAGGCCCTTTAAACTAATATATGTGTGAATTTGAAGCTTTACATTCTTGTATGGTCTCTTAACTGTGTTCATAGGCATGTTCTGTTGCCGCCATGGAAACGCCATCTCAAAGAGTCAGACTAATTATGAACATATTGTCTGGCTCAGATGACCACCAGTGACATTTTATATGAACTGAAGCTGAAAATGCTGTCATCAGTTTTCAGTATCAGTCTCCGAACATGAGGCATTGGCCAGGCTCTAAGAAGGCATTTGAGGTTACAACAGATGATAGTTAAACTCACTGGTGTTATGCCAAAAACACTAGAAAATGTTCTAAATTTACACTAAGGACAAATATAGCATCTCATTGTGCTCAACAGTGAGGCTCTTCTAGTCTTTTAATACCAGTCCCTTGATCTCCTCACAGTTGTACAGGACTTTTTTGGTCTATATTTATTTTATAGTCCCATTTCCATCTGGCAGTGCTTGTGCTTACAGTAACACTTTAATCCAGTAATTTAGAGTCACTCAGTAACACTCAGAGTTTGACAAAGCTAAAGTCTACAAAAGTCTATAACAGGAGGTAGAGTTGTTTTCTCTGCTGTAGGTCCGGCCCTGATCTGATAGAGCCCCACACTGCCATCTTGGCAGAAAATGCTGAATTTTTGCATTTACTGAGCAGCTCTGCGTGAGTACGTCAAAGCCAGAACCTTTCATCAGAAACAACCTTGTGAGCCTGAACTGTCAACCACCAACTAAAACAGCAAGGCTTCTATTTTAGAGGTAGACCATACAACAGTGTATTTATATATCTACATGAGAGAAATACGCAGGGAGTGTTCAAGTCTAATCAGAAGTTTTCATCACGGTAAAAAGTTGGTCTAATAACATGACTTATTGCACTAGGTGGAAATATTGCCTACTCAGCAAATGTAAAAGACGACGTATAATACTGCTCTACAAGCTGCCCTACATCAGTGGTGAAAGAAAAACTTTTGGTACTTAAGTACAGATGCTGAAGCAAAAAATACTCAAGTAAAAGTACAAGTATCCTATGAAAAAAATCAATGTAAATAAAAGTATTAAAGTACCTGTTTCAAAGTATACTTAAAGAGTAAAAAGTAAAAGTATTTCAAGCAGATACTGAAATCTAATAAAGCTTCAAATGTAGTGATTTTGATACAGATTTGTGGTGAATTTTGTTTAGCAGTTCCATTTTGTTAAATTTATTAGTTAGAGATAGAACAAAAACTCTTCTATTCTATCTGTTTTTATTTAACCTCAGCCTTTTCAGCATGCCTGAAACTATCATAAAAATACTTTTACTTTTCACTTCAGTTCCAAAACATTGTGAAAGCACAGATACCTGCTCTCGAGTAGTGAAGCAAAAGTAAAAAGTATCCAGTTTTAAAATGCACTTAAATAAAGTACAGATATCTAAATGGTATACTTAGATACAGTACTTAACTACTTAACTTAACTACTTTTACTTCATTATGGCCTACATGTACTGTTTGACATGTAGAACCTATAGCACAAACTCTCTTTGGGTTCAAAGACTATGGGGCTATATTTAATGTGAAGATGATTTCTCATAAAATCCATTTAAACTTGCATAGCAGAGTAGCAGATTTCATGACATAAAATGCTTAAAAGGGAAAGCATTTTGTTTTGGACTCATGTTGTTGAAATGTTAAACGCAGCATATTTCCACCAAACCAAACAGAGCACAAAATAAACATCAGATCAAGACGAGTACTGTATACCGTCACTGCCGGCCGCACTTCCACCACACATCCTTGGACTTTAAATCCTTCACCTTAAAGGGAAATACCACTGAGCTGCAACTTACAAACCACTCATTATCCTTAAAGGGCCTATTCTGCATTACTTTCTCATCTATGTTATAATGTTGTTTACATATCAAAAACATACCTGGAGTTGTGTTTTGTTTCATTCACACATGTTTAACACACAAGCCCTGTAAATTTAGGCTTCTGAGTTCTTCTCTCAAATGGAAAACACACACTTTGTGATGTCATGTGGTAATACTCTCCACTGTCTTTTTTAAACTCCATACACCTTCACTAAAATAATTTGGATACTTTCAGCCCTGGAATCTGGAGAGCCAATCTTTACTGAACTAAAGATAGCTGTGAGCTTGTCACTGACAAGGTGGAACAGAGCATTTTGAGCTTGCTGTTGTTGTGATGTTAAACATGTGTGAATGAAATAAAACAGAACTCGTATATGTTTTTAAGGAGCTAACAGCATTATAACATGGCTTAAAACTCACAAGAATCCATTTTGTGTAATAAAAATGTTTGCACCATGAGCCTGATCTGTCTTTTCTAAAAAATAAAGTAGGAAGCAGATGATTTGGTTTTGCTTCGACTGTGGGATGTCACTGTGATGTACAGCTCCACAGAACGAACGCCGGGCTGGAAAAGAGAAGGAAAAAAATACCGTGACAGAGTCCAGAGTGTTTTATTTTCTCGGCAATTGGGGGGACATTTTCCACCGTGGAATCCATCACTCTGTCACAATAAAGAAGAGAAGAGAAGTCTGAACAAAGATATCGCTTCAAAGTCTTCTTCTTGGAGTGTTCGGGGACAGAGCATTAATTATGGAACAGCAGCTTCGAAGAAAAAGTGGATTCTAAAAGACCAATACTTGTCTGGGTTCTTTGGTCATGTGATATTTCCCTTTAGGCTACCTCATTAAAGTGCTATAGTATTATACGTTGAATACATCACTGATATTAATGCTACTAACATATTTTTAAAGGTGCACTACGTAACTTTACTGGAAGAGTTGCCAGGGAAGTCCAGAATGAGCTCTTTATTTTTTATATAGGGCTAGGCTCAAACATGGCCATCCAATCAGATTAGTTTATTTCAGAGATGCATATAAAACAAAGGAGCTGATTGGCCACCAATTATTTTGAACAAATTTAAATTTCTTCATATACCTTCAATACCTTCACTCACTGATTTTGCAGAAACTGGCAATGTTTTTCAGTTACCTGCGATTTTTTTTTTCCTTTCTTTTTTCCTCTTAAGTAGCCATATTTGTTTTGGTATGGACACCCTTGGGAGATTCAAGATTCAGACTCAAATCTTTGTAAAGTTTTAGAGAAATATATATTTTTGATCCCAGGTACGTTGAAGAGTGTACACCAGCTGCCATGGAGATGTTATTGTTTTGCCTGCCAATTTATTATTAGTGCTTTAATTGTCTTCTTTGTGAATGGGGTTGCCTTTGTGAATGGGGGTTGCCTCTCCATAGATCTGATCTTTGTCTGGCAAACCATGCAGACAAGGAAATGGTAGTATAAAGTTACATACTGCACCTTTAAATCTCTGCTACAAAACATAGGAATGCCACAATTAAAGTCATCCAAAAAGAGGTGATGAACTTTGATTCTTCATATAGTCATCCAAAAAGTGAAATTATTGCAGATTTGAGGACTTGTGTGAGGTCTCGGTGCACAAATGGTTGCTTGTGTGAGAGAGGGAGAGCCGGAGGAGTGGACAGTGGAGGAATGAGGGAGTGCAGGGTCAGAGCCAGGGACAGCCTTGTTCACTCTGTCAGCCCCATGAAGAATTGATCCACTGGGAAATCTCTTTAGAGGGAGAAACGCCAAAAAGCCTCCAAAAATAGGTGATGAAGAGAATCTTATAATAAAAGTATGTTTGGTTCATTCTGAGATGTGAAATCGCAATGTTTTTTCATAAATATTGCCTTTTCCTTGCTTGGAGGAGTTGAGTATAGCTTTGCCTCACCCCCTCCTTCCGCCCCCCACACACATCATTAAAGTTTGGGGCCTGTACTTCACTCCTCTTTTCTCGTTCTCTCAGCTTTGGGTTGCTTGTTTTTTCTTTTTTTTTTTCACAGATCAAAGTGCTGCCGCTCCTTCTGTTGATAACTTCCTCCGGCGACGCTCTCCTCTTGTCTGTACTATTCACCTTTTATTCCTTACATTCCAGTCGTGTCAAAGTGCTCCATCCTTGAGTCGTTTTTGGAAATTTATTTTGTCCGATTACATTCAGGGTTCAATCAAACAGTCCTCCCTTTTAAAGTTGGCTTTTGCATGCTCTTACATTCCTGAATTGTCTGGTCAGGGTCTTTTTGGTCGTCCATTGCGTGGCAGGTTCTCCACAGTGTTGCTAAGGCGATATTTCACTATGATGCTGTGGACTGTGGACTTGGGCATCCTCAGTTCTAACCCTATGGCACCCTCTGACTTGCCATCCTTCCATAGGTCCACCACGCGCTGCCTCTGCCCCACGCCGTGCTCCTTGGTCTTGGGGCAAACCGCTCCCGTAGATCCGCCACCAGCTTCTGTGGGGGCAGACAAGCGGCAGACTGTAGTGGCGAGTCGCAGAGACACTTAGCGCCCCGTAGGGACTTTAGACAACCTCTCTGCGGAGGTCAGAGGTCAAGGAGTGTGTACGCGGCAGTTGTGTGGTTCTCCGTGTGGCGTAATGGTGGCTGAAACAGTTTTTCCAAAAATATGATTCACAGTTTACACAGCTACCATCTAGAAACACAAAATAGTCCTTCATTTGGGAGGCGGGCTTGTTCAAAGTTCAGACACTGGAGCTAAAACAGTAAAAGCGCCCAGGGCATATTTATATATTTGTTTTGTGTACTCAAGTGCAGATGAGAACCTCTCTCAGGAGACACTTAAGGAGGTCTCTCAATCAGAGCATTTGTTATTGTAACCCCAGAAAATGTCTGTATTTCTGACTCGGCCTTAAATGGTCAAGCACCAGTGTGATCCCAATCAAGTCCATAAACGTGGTCTCGTTTGCTGCCAGAGTTCAGGACGCTAACCTCCGCACAGAGAGGCCCCTCAGAGCGAATGGACACGCGACTATTTCGGCTCAACCCAACCCTCGGCCGCTTTGCAAGTCACAACATGGCGTTTACACAACCAAACTCCTTCTGTGGTTTCTCTTCCTCTCAAAATACTTTCGGCACCAAGTCCGAATGTTTTCTTGGCATGGCCAGACTCAGACAGGCTGAGCATAATGACATTTTCAGAGATAGGCCCAGGCTTTCCAAAATGCAATGTCTTTGACAGATGTTTCAGTCTACAATTACATAAATCACGATAGAGCGAGGGGGGCCACCGCTGCACTGGGAGAGCTGGCTGCTGTGGTTTCAGGGTAAGGCTATTGGGGAATATCGGGTTTTACTAGTTATCTCTGCAACATCTCTGCTATCTAAACATCTGCAAACACTGACACACAAGCACAGTCTGTTGACCATATGCTGTTATCAAACTAACTTTAAGAAAATAAGTTGCATTGAAGTTTTGACAGACCACAGAGGCATACAACTGAATAAACTAATGACCTCTGGATAATATGTAGTATTTACCAAGACAAGTGAAAGCTACAGTAGCGCTTCACACGAGAAAAGAGCCATGATAATGCAAGCATGTAGTAGACAGGTTTGATAGCCCTCCAGACAGCCCCTCACTGTTGCACAATGTGCCTGTGTGTCTGTGTTATGTGCTGTGCAAGTTATACCCCGGACATGTAATGAGATGAAGAGCCTGAACACACCGGGGGCAGTTTGCGTTGGGTTCTGGTAATGTCTATTTCAGGTGTTGATCTGGCAGTGACTTCAGAGCGCCCGCTGCAGATGGTTTTCCTGATTATGGGGCTTCTCTGGACTTTGAGGTTTTCACAACTAAACTGCACCGGGAGCAGAAGTGTCGACTCAAGGTGTTTAAATAAGGCTACTTTGGAAGCTGTCAGGTAAATGCATTCTCCACACGTCTGGCTATTGAAATGAAACCTAAGCACATTTAATACCACTTTTCCATTGTCTGTCTTTCAGTTTTTGTTTCTTCCACAACAATATGACCATATAAAGGCGAAAGGACTCAGTTTAAAGCTTCAAAACGAAGCAACAATTTGGATCGATTTAGCTCACAATCACATGCCAAGTAATCAAGTCCAGACAGTTTTCCTCTGTGTACTGTCAAATGTAATGAAGGCTCACTATGGCAAGCTGACTGACATGTAGCCCCCAAATCTTTCAAGGCTACTGGTCGGGATTCTTTCTCTCGCCATAGCTGCTTCTAAGAGGTTGACCTTAAAGTGTACATATTTTTGCACCACACGTGTTCCTGAAATAAATACTGTAAGTACTTTGTTTTTCAATTTCTACTCCTCCACAAGACTGTTCTGGTCATATATGTTGTCATCTTATGTTATGCTTGTGGTGATGATGTTGGATATCATTAGTCATTTAACATTCCTTTCACTTGATACAATTCAAAAAGTAACAGTAAATATAGTAATTATACATTGTGGCTGGATTTATGGCACCCAGTTGTAATATTAAACCCTTTGACCTACTATGCCAAAGCTCAGGTAAGAATCTAGACAGACTGATTTTAGCTACTGTATCTTTGAAAATCAGACTGCAAACCTGTGAATTATTAGCATTACAATATATTTTTCAAGATACATGAGACGGATAGCACACATGTATTGAAATAACTGTAATAAAAGCATGATTTATATGGGTAACTTCTATTATGTACAAAATGGTTCAGTCATGCTTCTTTCTAGCCCCCTCATTTTTGTTAATAGACATAGACATTTCAACACCATAATATCAAGTTGAATGCTTCGTATTCAAATGACAGATAATGGGGTAAACTCTGTGCCCTCGTAAATCAGTTCTGTTGCCAGACACAGTAATAGTTATCTGCCATAACTCTTTAGGAGAGAAACATAAATCTAGTGCTGTCAAATGCCAAGACAATCAAACAACTCTCATGTTGTTATCTTTGAATGATTGTGTTAGTTAAACATAGTGAAGTTTATTATAACTACTGACTGTAGCAGAGTTTAAACTTGCCTTTTTGCAAAAATGCCCCTCAAAAGACACAAACACATGCATACAGAATATAAACAAAGCATATATTTAGAAACTTCAAAAGTAAGAACTCCAGATGTGTGCTGCCTGATGCTGCAGATAAGCGCATTTAGATTTTTAAATACGATTGTCGGCAGAACTTTCCAATTATTTATGGTCCACGGACTACTGCCTCTGACTGACCTGATATGAAAGATCCGGGAGGCATCTGGCTGTAGTTGGCCCCTCCGAGGTGCAGGGCGCTGGGGGGTGCAGGGGTGAAAGGTGCTCCGTAGTTTTGGGGGGTGGCGTAGGGTCCAGGAGGGATGGGCTGCAAAAGAAAGTAGCGCTAATTATTTTTGGAAGAAGAGTTATGTAAGCTGGCAGATGAATTATACCAAATAAGTCAAGCGTTTAGTGACAACATAACAAAGTATAATAGGCTCTGTTTTGGTTGGTAGATGGCACACATTTGATCTAGAGATGCACTGATCCAGCTTTTTCTATCCCAATACTGATGCTGATACTTTGGTTTTAAGTATCTGCCATTAAATGATATCAACCAATAGTAGGGCAGGGAGTAAATAAAGTACAGCTATAATTTATTTCTTTTAAATACACTGGAAAAAAACAATCTAGCTAAGTTAAAATGACTTAAATTAAGAACATTTTACTTTATTTGAGTTGATTCAACTTGACAAGTAAAATTATCTACCAATGGAATAAGTGTGTTTTTCTTAATTCAAGGGCCATTAGATTTTGTTTCTTATTCTAAGTGCAAAGAATTGTGTTTTTCTTATCTTAAGTGTTGCAAGATGTATTTTCATATTTTAACCACAAAAATTCCTGTTCCATTGGTAGATAATTGTACTTGTTAACTGAAATTTACTCAAATCACGATAAAACTTTTTTGATTCTAGTCATCTTAACTTGGCTAGATTTTAGTTTTTGCAGTACACACTGTGTATGGTAAAATGTGTTTTGTAACAGTTATTTATCATTTTAAGTAACTACATAACAACTTTGAAAAATATTAAGTATTTGAGCCAACATTGTCCAGTGACTTGTCCACAAATTTATAGACCAAAATAGGACATCGAATGAACAGTTTTTGGCTGATCCATCAAAAAATTGGTGCAGAGATCTGATACCAATATTGCTCTGTTTTCTCCTTACAACCTCTTATTTCTAGCTGAGAGATATATTTGTATTGCTATAGTTTGATATTTTTTATTTTTATTTGCACATTCACATATATTGATATAATTATGCCTTATTGGACACCAGTCTCTTGCTATTCTTGCTACTTATTTTGGATTTATTATCATTATTTATATTTTTGCCCTTTTGTTATTATAATAATATATGGTGAAGTGTGCGCTACTGTGTCCAAATAACTTCCCTTGTGGATCCATAAAGTCTGTCTAAGTCTAAGTCTGGCCGGTTGACAGAAACTTGGGAGCCCGGGACAAGAAGCCTCACATCCAATCCTCAATCCAATCCACTTTATTTCTATAGCACATTTCATAAATAAAGACTGTTTCCAAATTGCAGCACACACAGAAATAAAAAATCTACAATTTAATACAATAACAACATAATAAAACAACAGATCTCCCTCTAATATAAATTGATAGAGGGAAGGTCCAGTTCTGGGCCTCTAAGTCTCTGGAGCCCGGGACAACAGACCCTTTCCCCCATCCCCTGTCGACTTCCCTGGTCTAAGACTAAGTATTGGTACAACCCTAGTTTGAACTGGGATTAGAGAGTTATATAATTATTATCCCTTATTTGACATCAGTCTCTTGTTATTTTTGCTACTTATTTAAAATGTACTATTATCATTTATATTTTTGCTCTTTGTTATTATATTTGTTGTGATGTATGAACTACTGTGTCCAAATAATTTCCCTTGTGAATCTATTAAGTTTGTCTAAGTCAGGCCCGTCAACAGAAATTTGGGGGCCCTGGGCAAGAAGCCTCACATAGGACCCCCTTTAATATAAATTCATAGGAGGAGGATCTAGTTCTTCCCATCCTGCCCATCTAAGTCAAAGTGTTACATTAGACATAAGACAAACTTTACTGATCCACAAGGAAAATTCTTTGGACACGGTATCTCACACATCATAAAATAATAACAAAGAGAAAAATATAAATAGTAATAATACATTTTAAATAAGCAGTATTTTTACTAGTAAAATAAAAAATAGAAACAGAGTAATATAAATACAGTATATCACAATTATATACAAGAGGACATAACCTACAGAGATCATAATGACTACTGACCGGAGCAGCGTGGGTTTCCGTGCCTTTGCTCGCCAGTCTGCTCAGGATGCTCCTCTCGGACATCTGTAACCGCGCGGCGATAGGGGGGACACGGGACAGGGTGGCAGGTAACCGGGTAACATCTGCCTTCATGTCGCTCAACAGCTCCTCCAACTGGTTCAGCACTGAAACAACAATTAAGCTAATGAGGCAGCTGTGGAGCGCAATTCATACATAAAGTAGTGTTGTCTAGGCCTGTCACGATACTTACTATATCACTTCAATGTTCAGTATATGAAAGCTGGAACTATATATTTTGGGTCTGAATATTGACCATTGTGTACATTTGCTTTGCAATAATGGGAAGATTGTTTTTATTTGAGTTGTAATCCAATCCAATAAGATCTAAGCTGTAGAGGGTTGAAAAAATAACTTACTGGATAGTTATTGGTCCATTCAGCTATTTATCTTTATAAATCTTTATTGCTTTTGTGTCACTGGTGTAAGCATTTTCAGTATTATCATTTATCATTATATTTCTCTGTAGCAAAATATTGCACCTCAAACTGTGCAGGCCTACTGTTGTCATGATGCTGACTTCAATTTGATACTAAGGAATTTACTCAGTACTCGATACTCATTACAATACGAAAATGAAGATCAAATATACTCCTTTTTAGTAATAGAATGTCATTTTCATAACAAAATAATAGTACTTTCTTTTTGTTACCATGAGATCTTGTTCTGATAAAGTGACTTGAAACTTGAATTTGAACTTGAAACTGACCAAATACTACATACTGATTAGTATACCACAATGAAACATGTTCCTTTTTCTCAATACAATTTCATAACAAATAATAGTAATTTTTATCTTACCATGAGATCTCATACTTCTGATAAAGCTATTCAAGAAAGCTCAATCAATGTTATCGATACTCAAATTGAGTACCTAGTTTTGATATTAGTTTTAATATGGAATAGTATCAGATATATTTTATACTTTTGACAACACTAATTTACTCACAAAGTAATTCCAATTCAGTTTCAAAGTACAGACCAAGAAAGGTACATTAAAATCACAATACAAACAAATAAGACAATAAAAGCACACACAATCAGCTGTACAGAATTGTTTTGAACCTAGATTTGAACATTGTCAGAGGCCCATTTCACATCTTCTGGAAGACTGTCCCTTATTTTAGCTGCAGCAAATCGCAACATTGTGTTTAGTTAATCTTTACTTAAAACTGTTTAAAAGGATCTGGTGTTTTTACAAAGCCAAGTCTATAAAAGAGAGCTGTCAAAGTTTGGCATTGTTTCCAGCCAGCAGACACAAAATGAGCTACTATGGCAGAAAAACACACAAGCAACTCAAGACTAAGGGTTAAAATTATAGTAAACTACTTTTGAATATCATAGTAAATGCTTTTTATGTTTTAGTTAAAGATCCTATATTATGCAAAATTGACTCCTGTGAGCTTTCAGCCATGTTAAAACATACCTGAAGTTGTGTTTGTTTCATTTACACATGTTCAAGTAACCCTTTATTATTAGTCTGTCTACAATCCTAAAGCTCAAAATGCTCTGTTCTACCTTCTGATGTCATGAAGCAGTAGTTTTCAAGTTAACAGTTGCCTTTTACCTTTAGATTGGCAATTCCATGGCTGAAATCATCTAAATGATTCTAGTTTTTAAAGAAGATGTATGATGTTTAAAAGCACGGTGGAGCATTTCCTGTATTACCACATGACATCACAAGGTGGAAGGTGGAATGTTTTCTGATTGAGAGAAGCACTCCATAGTCTAATATGCAAGATTTGTGTGTTAAACATGCGTGAATGAAACAAAACACAACTCCTTATGTATGTTTGGAATGTTTTTGAACATTATAACAGAGATCAGAAAACAGCATAATATCATCACAGAAATTATAAAATCTTCATTATGTAGATCATTAAACTGTATCTTTAAATAAAATGTAGTCTACCATGTAATTGCAAATCCATATAAGAAGTAAAGTCAGCGTGGTATGTTTTCAGTAAGACTCTATACGTCCTCTGTATAGTCTTACAAGTGTTTGAGTGAAAAACTACATATAAGCATTTTTCCTTTTATTTAATGTTCTCTTCTATTTCCACACATTCTGTTCCATTCTATTTTGGCAAAGAACTATGTCCCCATCATTTATTATTCTGTCTTTCTATCATCATCGCCTTTCATCAAACGCAACACTGATTACAGACTAGTGGAGTCTCACTGCAATTCGATAATGATGTTTATGGCCATTTATGAGGTTTAATGTGCAGAAATACAAGCACAGTAGTGTTTGAGCGCGTAATCCTTTCAAACAACACAAACATGCCAAGGCTCGCCAAGGAGTTTGTGAGGAAGTATTTTGGAGCGATCTCTTAACAGCCTGTAAGATTATCTGAGCTTTGAGAAATGGATCTGCTGTAGTTTTGAGTGAACTTCTGATGGATTAAATTAAGGTACTTTTTGGGGATTCGTTTACATAAAGTGTCCCTATTCAACGGTGCGCTATGTAACGTTTTGGTTGAAGGTCCATCACCTGCTTGTTTCTATGGATATGTAATTTCTCTACCTGGAATGTGCCACAGTATGACATTAAAGAGCTCTACTTTACATGTATTCATTTACAAGTGGTTTTATAGCTCAAAAATACAGAGAAAAACAGGTATTCTGACTGTGAGTGGGGTTGCCTCTCCAGGGATCTGACCTATAACTCGGTCTGGTTTGGTCTCCATGAAGATAGAAAGGTTTAATAGCATACTTTGAAACTTTCCAAAAAGCAATAACATCTCCATGAAGAAAAGCATTTGGAGCACGGACCCTCCACCAGAAAAATTACACAATGCATCTTTAACGGTGTACTGCTTCCCTGCTTACTACTGAACATTAGGTGGAGGGACAACTGGACAATTTAGTCAAGAATAAGAGATTTATGCACAACAAGAAAAACACAGATTCATTTTGTAAATAAAAAAAAGAACTGTCAAGACTGCATCTCAGTCTCGAGTACTCCTCCCTGCTGCATATTGTATCTTTTTTTTTTTATTCTTTAAAGGGCCCATATTATGCTGTTTTCTGAACTGTGTTATAATGTTGTTTCCTCATCACAAACATACCTGGAGTTGTTTTGGTTCACATGTTTAACACACAAATCCTACACATTTAGGCTGAGTTTTTCTCTGAAATGGAAAACACTCTGTTCCACCTTGTGATGTCATGTGGTAGTACAAGAAGTGCTCCACTGTGTTTTTAAACTTCATACAGCTTCACTAGAATCATCTGGATAATTTCAGCCCCGGAATTGCCAATATCTATAAGTTTCAAGTTAGAACTTCAAAGATGTAGACAGACAAATAATAAAAGATTAAACTTGTGAATGAAACAAAACACAACTCCAGGTATGTTTTTGATGAGGTCACAACATTATAATATGACTTAAAATTCATAAGAGTCAAATTTGCGTAATATAGGCTTTTTAAAACTTGTCTAATGCTTATGATTGTGTTCTCTCTTGGGTGAAATAATTTAGTACATATTGAAGGTAAGGTATACTGTACTGTCTCTTGTTTGTCCTTGGTATTTCATCCAACCTTCAATGTCACTATTAAGCATCCTATGTTACAAAATTTAGATTCTTCTGTCCTTTTTGCTATTTTTAATGCTGTTACTTCCTCAGAAACATACCCTGAGTTCTGTTTTGTTTCATGCACACGTTTGAGTAATCTTGGCTTATTAGTCAAAATCTCAAAATACTACCTACTGATATTTTTGAAGAGGAAACAACATTATAACATAGATGAGAAAATAGAATATGGGCCCTTTAAGAACTGTGTGATAGGGAAATGGCACTTTTGTACAGAGGACACCTTCAGCTAGCAGAGATAACTGAGAGATAACAGAGGCGTAGGTCTGTCAGATAATGACTATATCAATTTATCATTCAGTATATTAAAGCTGAAACAATATTTTTTGTGGTCAGCATTTATCATGTATACAATTTCTTTGCAATAGTGGAATTTTTGGTTATTTTTTGGCTATATGATAAGATTTAAGCCATAAAAGGTTGAAGACATTGATCATATAACTGGATAAAATTTGACCTTTTTTGAATTTTATCAGAACTAGTGTAATATCACATGGTTTAATAAACAAATACTATTATTTTGTGTTAAAATCTACAATATTGTCTAAAAAGAGCTTATAAAATGATCCGTTTGGGTGTCAAAATTGATATTGAGCATTGAGGCTATTCTTCATCAATTAAGTTTGAAATTTTACTACCATGACAACATGAGCTTTACAGCATGAGCATTACAGTCAGAAACACATACAGTAGCTGGAGAAACAGTAATTTGCGCAGGTTATGATCAAACTGCTAATAGTTTCTATGTAAGTACAACAGAGTAGGGAATCATGTACTAGTATGTGTGCTGTGGTGACTGACCTTTGTGTAGGACGGCATTGGCGGGCTTGTTCCCCGACAGAGACTCTTTGCTGAGGTGCTGGTGGGATTCGGCGAGGCACTCCACTTCAGCGAAGCGAGCGTTCAGGGCCATGGCGGGGTGACTGGGGTCCTGCGTCATGTTTAGATACGCCGCCCGCCGCAATTGCTCCTCGATCACAAGAGCCTGCTCCAAGAGCTGAAAAACCACAGTTTCAGACACGTTTGAAAGTACCAGTGGTGGAAGGTAACATACAAAATTAAAAGTAAAGTAAAGTAAGTATTTGAGAGCAAGTATCTGTACTTTCTCCTCCACTACATTTTTGAATAGGCCTGAAAAGTAAAAAGTACTTTTCTTTTAAGTTAACATCTCAACTTTGAGCAAACCAACTACATAAAGGCACAAAAATGGCAAGAAATCCATTGAATTACTGAATTACAGCTACATTCTTTGTCAAAATCACAATATTTGATGCTTTAATTGTGCTATAAATCTCAGCTAAATACTTTGAATTTTTACTCTTAAAGTACATTTTTAAACTGGTACTTAGATTTTTTCATTTGATATTTCTACCTGAGTAATCTTCCACTCCTGTATCTGTATTTTTACTTAAGTAGCAAAATTAAGTACTTCATCCACCACTCGAAAGTACACAAACATCTTGATAAGATCTATAGCACAACCACCAAGATAATGCCAAGACGTAGCAGAGAAAAGGAATCATTTGTGCTTTAACCTTGTCAACAGAAATTTTGATCAAAAAGCGTTTGAGTTTACAGAATTGAATTTCTCCTTTGTTATGTTTGACAGCATTAGTCAGGATTGTGGATGTGCAAAAATACTGAAATAATGAAATATCGATATATCGTATTTGGTGATACAGATATCTTGGGCTGCTGTATCGATATATCGCCAAGAGTGTTATTTTGTGAC